ATCACCATTCTTTAGTTGACTTTGAAAAATTTTATACACACTGTGCAAGTAGGCTAACTCAGTGCTATTGACCAAGGAACAGAGAAGTATAAGATCCTTGTGTGTGTATGTACTTTCTGACTGGCAAAGCCATTCAGTTTTTGTTACTATCATGATAGTTTTTTTTCAATTAAGTAAATAGCTCCTTCTGCAAAGATTTCAAACAATTGTTTTCTTTAATGGGCACAATTTGTAAAACATTATTTGGAAAAGTTGGGGGCAGCTGCTTGTCTTCCACCTCAGGCACAGAGGGTTCTAAAAGAGACTATGCTTTATGCAAAAAATTAGTCAGTTGACAAGAGGCAGTGATGAGATGGGATTGTCTTCTGCTTCCTCCTTTCCTTTATTCCTTTCATCTCACTGACTGTGCTTACTAAACTTTTTCCTGTTTCTATTTCAAATGAGGAAGGAAAAAAAAAACTAAACCACAGTTCATAATTAAATACTGAGCTAGTTCTTACCATGTTTACTGAATTACATATTGCATATATGGATGTATATCCCCAAAGTTTTCATGTGTTTTCAGATTTCTAAACTTAATGTGTTCCATAGGAATAGACCTTAACTCCTTCCTGTCTGTTTTTCATGATGAGGTTTGCCTCCACAGAGGAAAGGAGTAAAGCAGTGAAACTTTTACAGATCTCTTAAAATTTTAAGGATTCATAAAGCCATGAATATAGTTGCTGAGCTCTGCAGATTCTCCTAGTTCACAGTAGAGATTCCTCCAGCAGAAAATCTTCAGTGTTGACCTTACAGCTGCAATAAGCAGATCAGCTTGACATGACATGCACAGTGATATCTTTGCACAGGTATCTTTGCCACAGGGTGGCTGACCTGGTAAAGAGGGCTTTAAACCAGGAACCGCAAGGGAAGGAGAAAGTTACCGCAGCCCTCTGAGGGAGCGATGGACAGGGCTGAGAAGCAAAGCGCCTCGGGTGATGTGAACAACGAGGAACACAAATTGAACAAAAAAGGGCTCAAGCGGATTCACCTCAAGCATTTGCATGTAAGTAAGGAAGTCTCTCCCAAAGTGCCTGCGCAGTAAGGCATGAAGCATGGGGCATAAACACAAGGAGTGAGAGATCTGCGTGCAGCTGCAGGGGTAGGATCTTGCTGGGATCCCAGAGATGCGGTGGACGGCTTGCACAACTGGAATGCTGCTATGGAGGGATACAGACTCTTCAGGAAGGACAGGCTGGGAAGTCGAGGAGAGGGAGTTGTCCTTTATGGGAGAGAGCAACTGGAGCTGTGCCTGAGGGGGAATGAGGAGAGCTTATGGGTAAGGATTAAAGAGCAGACCAATACTGGTGACTTTGTGGTAGGCATCTACTATGGGCTGCCTGACCAGGAAGAACAAGGCCCTCTACAGACAGCTAGAAGCAGCCTCACATTTGCAGACCCTAATCCTCTTGGGGACTTCAACCACGTTGATACCTCCTGGAGGGAAAACATTGCAGGGCATAAGCAATCCAGGAGGTTACTGGAGACCTTTAATGATAACTTTGTGACACAAGTGAAAGAGGAGCCAATGAGGAGAGGTGCTCTGCTGGACCTTATACTTGCAAATGAGGAAGGCCTCATTGGGGATGTGAAGGTCGAAGGGAGCCTTGGTTGTTGTGACAGTGAGATGGTGGAGTTCAGGATCCTAAGAAGAGGGAGCAGGGCAAAAAGCAAGATCACAACCCTAGGCTTCAGGAGAACAGACTGTGGCCTCTTCAGAGATCTACTTGGAAAAGTCCTATGGTATAACGCTCTGGAGTGAAGAGGTGTCCAGGAAACCTGGATAGTATTCAAGGATCACCTCCACTCAAGAGAAGTCCATCCCAACACACAGGAAGTCAGGCAAAACTGTCAAGAGGCCTGTGTGGTTGAGCAAGGAGGGCGCTACTGGTATCCTGGGCTGCATGAGGAGGAATGTTGAAAATCCTTCCCCTCTACTCAGCACTGGTGAGGCCAGACCTAGAGCTCTGGATCCAGTTTTGCCCCCCCCCAGTACAGGAGAGACATGGACATACTGCCAAGAGTCCAGTGATGGGCCACTAAGATGATGAAGGGACTGGAGCATCTTTCATATGAGGAAAGGCTGAGAGAGCTAGGAGTGTTCTGCCTGGAGGAGAGAAAGCTCAGGGGGGATCTCATCAATGTGCACAAATATCTGAAAGGAGGAAGGGTGCAAAGAGGATGGAGCCAGGCTCTTTTCAGTGGTGCCCAGTGATGGGACCAGAGGGAATGGACACAAACTGAAAGACGGAAGGTTCACTCTGAACATCAGGAAACACTTTCTCACTGTGAGGGTGACCAAGCACTGACACAGGTTGCCCAGAAAGGTTGTGAAGTCTCCCTCCTTGGAGATATTCAAGAGCTCTGTGGACGTGGTCCTGGGCAACCAGCTGTAGGTGTCCCTCCCTGAGCAGGGGTTTGGACTAGATGATCTCCAGCGGTTCCTTCCATCCTCAACCCTTCTGTGATTCAGGAGAAATGGATAATTGCTTTTCATATTTTCAGTTCCCATTTCTCTAGAATTTTCAAACAATCCACCTCCTGGTCTGCTGATCATCTGAACTGCTGATATTTCAACACCAAGCTGTGGTAGACTGGTGGATTACTCTTTAGAAGTGATTACCTGCCTTGCAAGATTGCTGAGATGGCAGATCTGTTGCTCAAATGCCTGGTATATCCTTTCCTTAAACACTCTCTCTGAAAAACTTTCCCTGAGATCCTCAGAGACCATGGGAATGTTACAAGGTTTATATATTCAATAGCTGCATACATTTGAGTATACAAGAAGGGAACCTGGAAAAGCAACCTGTACTGCTGTGTAAGGCTAGGTAATGCTGCTGTATGTTTTTAGAACTGAATTGTTGCTTTACACTGAGTATTTCTCTGCTTACGCGTTTCTTAATAACAAGAAAATCCGGACCAAGTTTGGGTCTCACTTTTTTGTAGTCAGAGCTACACCTGTAAGTAGAGCAGTGGAGCACTTTTCATTTTCCAATTCCAATCATGCTGGAGTACTAGAAAGTCCAAACAGAATGCCTGTTGTAGATAGGCTTACAGTGCTTTAGATTGAGCTGAAAGGAAGAAAGTGTGTATAGGGATCTGTGTTCTTGTAGCTGATCCTACTTGGAACTCAGTTTCAGTTTGAATTCACATTAAACTGTATGAATCCCATGCTTAAAGTTATTCAACATTTCAATAGCTTGCTGAATCAGCGAGAATATAGTATGAATATGTATGAACCGTTAAAGACTAAGACTGGATCCAGTATGTCTATATTGTTATATCCATATTTATTGATATCTATAGTTACATCCCTATCTATGTGGATAGATACAGATATATGTATGTATGTATAGTTATGTTTGGAAAGTGAGACTTTGGTGAAATTCAAACATCTGATGACTCAGCTGAATTCCTGAAATCTCCTACCCAAGGACTTTCAGTGTTTTGTCATGAAACCATCATTGCATAAAATGCTCAAAGTTTCCTTTTATCATGGACTGGAATTCGTAACTTGCTTACTTCAGAGGAAGGATATGCGATATTCCCACTCTGCAGCATCTTACAAAGCCTAGATTATTTTATTTATATTGGAGCAGTTTAAGAAGAGAACTCCAGAGAGGTGTTAGAAGAAGGGTGGATAAAATGGTGTAGCATTTGTGGTGTTTTACATTCATGTGGGGAACATTAATTTAATTGCTTTCCTTTGACGTGCACAGGATAACTATAGGAGAATCTGTTGACGTGATGACTTTTCCCCACCCTGCAAAAATATTCCAAGTAATAGCCTGCTTTAGAAAAGTGAATCACCACCTTTCAACATCATCACCTTTCAACATTTTAAAAAGACACAAATGCTTTACTTTAAGAAATTATTTCTTATGTAGACAGAGTCATCTTAGAGTCCTGAAAGAAGTGTATAAACTCTGAAGATGGATAAGTTGTAAGATATACCCTTGTTGGCTGGCAAGGTGGCTTCTTGCTGGTTGCATTAGATGCCTTTCTGAACCGTCTTCATGCACTAACTAGGTTAATGTGGAGACCTAGCAGGCAAGAACTACATCTACTTTTACCTCACCTGAGGATTTTGAGAGCTACCTGTCATTTAAAGCCAGTGTTATGTGTCTACATTGGCCTTGTAAGCAGAGCTCAAGTGGCCTGTAAATGCCATGTGTGCATGTAAGTGTCTATATATATATATACACATATATATATATATATGAAATTTAGGTAATGCAAAGCAAAGCACTACAACAAGTGGATCTTTCGCTTCAGACCAGCTCCAAAAGTCAGCAGGTATTGTAAAGTCCTTAGGTATTTATGGAGCCAGGCAAGAGAGGGGCAAAGACCTCAATAAGTACAGTGGCCAGGCATTGCCCAAATGTTTTTTCCAAGATTATGTAGGTACATTCTGTTATGGCTCTGTGAACAGCTAACTTGTATTAAAACTAACTTGTCAAAAAAAAAACTTCATCTATTTTGAGGCATCATAATTAAAACTAAACTTTAAAAGATGTCTTAACTAGTGTCTGAAGATGAGCATGCAGGTTTTTTGCATGCAACTTGCTGAAGTCACCTTTTTTTCCAAATCTGTATTTTGTTACTTCAGTTTTTAATATTATCATTGCTATGTCAAGGAAATTAAAACTATGAAATAATGCTTCCTCTTCCTTGTCAAAACAGTTCTTTGTCCTTTAAATACAATTTCTTGTCTAGTCAGAAAAAAATGACCGAATTTTTACTTATACATTGTTGATTTTTTTATATCATCTCACCATCATATAATAGAATTGGTAGCACATTAGTTACTTAGCAAGTAAGCAGAGAGTGTTGTTATTTGTCTGTATGCTTGGAAGTGCTGAAAGGTTAGTTGCTTTACTCAAAAGTGAAAATAGAATTGGCAGTATGGTAATGATATATTGTTTATCTGTACAAAAATAATTTCTTTTGTTCTTCAATAGATTGCTTGGCTTCTACAAAGGAATATTTCCTCCTATCTTGGCTGAGACACCCAAAAGGGCGGTGAAGGTAAAAACCCCATACTTCCTCCTTTAAAAATATGAGTAGGGACAGTGGCAGATGTAAAACATTTTATTTCTCCCCCACTGATTGACATTAGAATCTTAAACTTATTTGGCATATTAATCCTCTAATTTTTACTAGGAGGAAACTTTCCTGTTGATAGCACAATAAAAACTGTGCTTGATTAAGAAGCATAAGATAAGGGTCTTAAATGCTAGGCTATTTTTCACCTGTATATATAAAGTTACAGGGGGGGGAAAATTACAATTAGTTTATATAATAAAAAACAATAAAATACTTTAAAGGATATTTTAGCCTCATAATTACTTCTGGTTTAGACATGTTGTTTTACTGAAAATGCCTAGCAACTTGCAAAACGACTAATAGCTTAATAAATTAACACAAGAAGCCACTAAAGAAACCACTCCTAATAAGTACTTACTCAGTAACTTGAAGCAGTATATCTGTAGGTTTGAAGTGCTGCCCAGAGTTTTCTTGTACTCCAAAGAGCACTCTACACCATACTCTCACTTTTTTACAGATTGAACACAGTAACGGGTACAACCCTTCATCATGCAAAGAACATTTTACTCCAGCTCTCTTATAGTTGAAATAGACATTAGTCTATCAAAGTGTATTTGCTGCCAAATGTTGATCTGATTTTCTTTTATTATCCTTTATGTTGATTTGTAAAGCATTATTTTATTAGCATTCCTAAGCAAAATACATCAATATATCGATTTTTTGCAGTCAAGTCATGCAACCTTTTTAATTAAAACCTAGTAATTAAGCACCTCATCTTAAAGTTCTAAATCTGTCAAAGCATCCGTTGTGTTACAAGCAAATGTTTCTTTGTCTTTTACTTCAAAACTTTGAAGTTTCCTATAGTTGCACCAAATGTGTCTAAAAGCAGTTATTAAGCAATGTCTTGATTTTCCTTTCTTTCTTTTCCTGTTTCTTTCTAAAAGGCTGCATATGATTCTGCTTCTTAGTCTGCAATTAATCATTCACATTCCAATTCCTTTACAGAGGAATAATATTTGTATAAAGTGACAGGATGTGACCTTGTAACAGAATCCTAAAGGAGTTCTGTTAATGTCATCTTCTTGTTTGCATTGGCATTTTAGATGCAAACGACATATGTCACCTATCTCAAAATTACTTAATAAAACTAAGAAAACTAAAGTTCTCTTTAATAGCAAAGTGGCACTAGAGCATAGATGGGTGATATTTAGAAGATTCCTAATAACTCGTTTTCTTCAGACTGTGATTTCTTCTGTCTCTCCATTTCATTTTATTTGAAACAGGTCAGAGTCAATCTGATCATGCTTTTTAGATTCCAGCATATATTTAGTTAAAATACAAACTCAAGTTTGAGTTCTCTTCTACCAACCTCAGTCATTCAAAAATCTTGAGTCACTTTCTCTTATTCAAATTTATTAAGTTGGCCTAAACCCCACAATATTCAATATAATTATAGAACCATAGAAAGATTTAAGTGGAATCTCTGCAGGTCATCTGTGAGCTTCTTGCTCAAAGCAGGGCTGCCCTCATGGTTAGATCAGATTGCTCGGATGCCTTGTCTAGATGAGTTCTGAAAATATTCAAGGATGGAGACTGCAGCCTCTCTGTGCTCCTACTCCAGTGCTTAATTGCTTTCACTGTGAATAATTTTGCCTTATATCCAATCCAAATTCCCCTGTTGCAACTTTTGCCTATTGCCTCTCATGCTTCTGTTGTGGACCTCTGAGAAAGTCTGACTTTGTCTTCTGTATAACCTTTAGATGGTGGAAGACAAGAATTAGATCCCCTTAACCTTCTGATTTTCAGGCTAAACAGACTTAGTTCTCTCAACCTTTTCTTGTACATCGTAAGCTCACAGCTCCTTAAATGTCTTACTGGTGCTCCCTTAGTGGGATGCTTTCTACCTAATTCCTGGGCATTTCCGTGAAAGCTCAGTAGTGTTTCTGCAACCATGAGAACCAGATCTAAATGCGAAGCATATTTTTTAATTAAATCATTACATTCTTTAATTCTTTACACTGTTCCATTAAATTTTATGCTGCTCCTAGTACACCAGGAGGACTTTAAGTTACCTTGAGACATCAGCTATATTCTACATTAGAAGAATTCAGTGACAGAATAGGGAAGGACAGTAATGTCCTTGTAAGAACCTGGATACTGAAACAATTCAATGTGAGATGTTATATGCCAGCACAATTTCTAACTTCCAAAGTAGAGTTTGTACTCATGCTTTGACTTGAAGAGAATCCACTCAAATTTCCACTAACTTTATTTGGATATGACTCCAACAGAAAAGTCACTGCTTCCTTTGGCTCACTCCATTTTTTATTCTTCTAATAGTTTTCCTCATTTTAACAGGCCCCAAGATATCCCTTGTCCACTGCCAAAATGACTAGTGAGATTTAGAGGAAGACTATGTGCTTGCCTATGGTTTTGAGACTTAAGAAAACACAAAAGGTAGAGAGGCAATTTCTAGGTTCCAGCAGCCTTGGTTTGTGTTCGTAATGAACTTTTTTAAAAACTAGTTATAGTTTCGTTTATATCTCATAAAAGCGTATAGAGAATGGACAAGGGAGATTTTGTACCAAGAGGAAACGTACTTGTGCTACTGGAATATTGTGTTTATCTGGTGTGGGTATTTGCAAATAAAAATAAAGCTACTAAAAAGAAGTTTTTTAGCCCCAGTTATTCAGCTAAATGTTGAAGATACAGCTTCACTTTTAGTGAACTACATTCTTGTGTCTGTCTTGCTATTTCTTGTTTTTCCTCTCTCTTTATTTCCCTTCTAAAAAGAAAGCTGGTATTTCTGGAAGACAAAAAGTCAAAGTTTATAACTTTATGTTAGATTGAACTTGGAGGAAAGAAGTGATGATGCCAGTACAATGGTTAACAGATGAACTTTTGGGGCAAATTTATATTGTTCATGTGTTCTCAGACATCTTGTTTCAAGCATATATTTTTACCTTAGAGTTATTGAGACATCTGGTAAGTACTTTGGCTATTTTCTGTGTAACTTGAATTAAAGTGTATCTTTGCCAGATGGACGATATTGGTTATTATATACACAAAAGCATGTTTTAAATACATTTATTCTGAGATTTTTTTTGTGCAAAGCTGTTAACTTAATACAACTGTAGAGAAAAAGACAAATTATGCTGTGTTTTTAAAAACATTTTGGGTGGACATATATTATATAAATCCATATGATGTAGCTAGATACTTTTTTGGCAAAATTATATGTATACTAGCCACTCTAGTACACCCAGCAACAATTATATTGAGTTTTATTGCTGTTGATTTGTTTTCTTTTAAAAATGATATATAGTTACTATTAAGTAGTTATTTTATTTATGACTCTAGGAAGCTATTGACTTTTAAGGTAACATTTTTTAAGACCAAAAAAATTGCTAGGTAATGTATTTCTGCCTTTATTACAACCATTTTACAGATCTGTAACACTATGGAAAACATTAAGGAATGCCAGAAATTCCATTAAAGGTTAGGAGGATAACAATGAGTAGAAAGATGCTGGAAAGAGAATAAAGCAAACTTTATCACAATAAGAAATTAATTTAGTTCAGTGAAGGAACTCACCCACCCACAACTGACACTTTCTCAGAGACTTCCTTTTACCTATAAAGTGTCTTCAGTTATCCAAAAAGATAGACCTACAGTCTAAGTAACACTTCCATCTTTTCTGATTGTTTGCAAGGCCAGTACAATAATTTTAAACATATTTGCAGGATGTTTGCAAGATTAGTGTTTAGAGGGCAGTTAAAATCTGACGCCCTATTCTAGGACCTTTTCTGCAAAATGAGATAATAATCCCTACTGAGGATAAAAAAAAGTATCTATCCACTGGCCAGAGTATCAGTCCTTCAGTTTTCAGAATTAACATGCTAATTTTGCACTACACATTCATATTCCCTCCTGCTTTAAATGTGCTGGCATTATTAACACATTAACACCTGGTCGTCTGATGGTTTTGGTGTGATTCTAGTGACTTTTCATTTGAAGCAGGTCTTGATTGAAAAATGTTATTGACTTTGCCATAGGCAGGGTTCTAAACAAGTTAAAATGACAATGTGGTGTTTATTACGCGTGTTCCTGTACACGTGGTTTATGGAAAAGCTGTTTTATTCTGATAGGTCTGTGGTAACTGAGCCCCGAGGGACTGAACTTGTCTTCTTTGGCTGAGACCCAGCACAGGTCACCCAGTCTTTCTGTTTTATCTGAAAAACTGTATTCCCTTATGTTTCTTACAATTCCCATATCTCCATTGACCTCATTTCCCATTGCCTTCCTCTTGTGGTGAGACAGTTTGATTGTCACATGCATGGGTGGGTGCTATGTGGAGAGATCACAGCCTCGTGTGTGGGAGCGAAACGCACAGCAAAAAGACACACATCAGAGGATCCCACCTTCATTTGAATCAGCTTGCTCTAAACTAATCAAGTGTTACAGGTCAGCTTTGGAAAGTAGCCAGGAAAGTCAGAGCTTCTAGTTATTTACTTTTGCTGTACATGGATGTGAGAGCTCTTGCTCTATTACATATCCACCTGCACTGATGCAGTCTTGGAGAAGCTGTGACAGGTTTTTGTTGTTCAGTCCCATAATACTGGACGTGCTGTGTAAAAGCCACTTTCCTTTTGCATCCAAAGTTGTGAATACTTCTTGGACAGATTACAGGACTCACAACTAATGAGCTGTAGTTATGGGCCTTGTGTTGTTCCATGTCTGAAAAGTATGTGGAATAATACCTCCAATATCTTTGGTTTTACCTGGAATTCAGATGTCTGCTCTTTATAACCCACAAGATTTTCTGCTGTCCTCATTCCTCATGCTAGAAGATCATTTTCGCTACCCTCAGAACTGTCTTATGTGACATCAACCTAAGTGCTTTTTCAGTGGCTACAGCAACATATTTGCAGAATATGAATTTGAAACAATATGGGGTTTAGGGAGATTTGCTGTACACAGAAGAACTGGACTAGAAAGGTTCACTTAGATCAGCAAGTCTAGTCCCCTGCTGTTCTATAATCTCCTTCATAAACTTATCAAACCCTTACAAGTCATTAAGATTTTCTTCCATTATTCTTAGTGGAAGACTGTTTCAGGTCTTGTAAGAAAGCTTCATCAGATCTTGAGCCACATCCTATTTATGAGTAGTTTTTACTTTTATACCCAATTACTTTATGTTAGATATCTCTCCTTTCCTTGTTTCTCATTCTTTTGCAGCCTCTCTTTTGCTAGACTAAATAAGGCAAGCATTTGTTCTCCTTCAGTTTTCATTCTTAAAATAATCTTTAAATTCTCTTATGATCCTGGTAACCCTGTTTGAATATGCTGTAGACTGAGTTAATCTTTTTTGAACAAAGGTCGCCAGGATTGTGTACTGTATTTCAGAGGGCATCTTACCAATAATTTGTAAAATATCACAAATACTCTTTCTTTAGAGTATACCTTGATGGATGCATCTTAGACCTTGTGTCTACAGACAAGGAAATAGGCAGTGAAAATCTGTCTGCTTCTTACTGACTTCAGTGCAGTCAGGGTTATTCTCAGCACTCTAACTCTAAATCCGTTAATTTATTCTGCTTTGATTTTTAGATTTCACAAAAGGTATTCTGAAAATTAATGGATTTGGGTGGTAAGAAATGTTAGGTAGCAAAGTGAACCATTTATAAATGGTTGTCTTTCTCCATCTTGGGGCAGGTGAAACTGAGCTTCTAGTTTCTTTCTTGAAGTTCAAACAGCTTTCAAAACTTATCCTCTAAAGAATTGCAGATGCTCAGAACTTCTGAACACCACTGACTGAAAGCAGACAATTGGGTGAACTGTTTATTTGCAAAGACCAAAAACTAAAAGAAATGTGTCTGTTGACAATAAAAGATTATAAAAATCTAGAGACTTTCCATCTTCAAAATCTGCAATTACATCTCCCTGAAGAGAAGTAGACTAGTATCTGAGAAATGTGAAAGTGATTGCAGTATATTATATTAAAGATGTGAGGGTGATTTCCTGGGCGAAATTATAGTATCTGCTGCTACGTTTATACCAGTATATGAAAATTCAATGCTAGAGGAAAAGTTTATAGATTAAAACCACAAACTGTGTATTGTAAGAAAACTCTACTTAAAACATTACTTTAATTGCACTTACGCTGCTATTATGCATGATACACTGATAAAATAAATTCTGAAGCCTAATTGTCTACTATTGCATATCTAACACTGCTACAGAGAATGTGAAACAAAAGTGGCTTATGTTTATTTTGCAGAACTGCACATAGCTACTCAGGATACAAGGTAGTGAAGTTCCATTGTAGTTTGGTTTTACTAATTTGCATAAGTAACACGTAATTTTTTTCAACACAATTTCAGTTTAACTTTTATTTACAGTTTTTCACCTTTGAACAATACAAGAAGCTACTAGGATATGCATCATTACCACCAGGACTGGTATGTATGGATACAGAACTTCATGTTCTAATTTCATATGTGTATATTGAACTGTCCCATCGTTTCCTCCCATAGAAGGAACCCAAAATTGAAAGGGTCAGTTCAACCAACAGTTTTTCAGCACAGACTTGTCTCTTGAAAACATTGATAACAGAATTTATTAAAATGATAGTTACGTTAATTTTTATATCAAATGTCTTCAAAATAATTCCCTGCAATGTCATAACATTTGTTAACATGGATAGCAGCAGTCACCATGGAAGAGTCTGTATGCAGCTTGTCATTCTTCATTCTTGCAAAATAACAAAAAAAAAATTAAACTTTGTCAATATTTATTTATTCATGTGATAGAGACTAGTTTGATAACTCAACCTCAAAGTGCTGTTCTGCAAGGCACAGTGCAACTGTAACAAAAAGACAGACCTCTTATCTTACTCTAAAGACTTTATAATAGAAACATAAAGTATTGATAAGAAACTTCTACCTCCTTGGAAGTCAATGGCAAAACTGTCTTATACATCAGTGGAGGTAGGATTTCATCTCAAGAACATAACTGTTTTAAAAAACAAAATACAGGACATGCATGTACATGAAAATGTTTTAATGCTAAGATGTAGCTTGCATGTGTTATCTGCATTCTCATATATATGTATTAATTCTGCTGTTGTACCATTTGGAATAAAATCTTTTTATAAGAATTACTGCTTTCTGTGGTGTAAGAAACAGTAAATAACTATTTTTCACAATAATGGCATCATAACTGTAGGAAACAATTGATATTTTTATGGTTACACTGTAAAGGCTTTGGTTATTTCAGGTCTCTTTCAAACAGTATTGCTTCCATTTACATCTGCCTTCCATTGCAGTAAGTGAGTGGTCATGGAATCATACTCACCAGTTTAAAGCAAGTGTCCTCTTCCTCTTAATTGTTCCACTGACTCTATAGTTGTTTACAGTATCTCCTATATTATCTTGTATTTTTCAACAGGCTCTTCTCATCCTTAGATGTAAATAGAGAGGCTGATATTTGTCCTCTAGTAAGCGGAAAGAACAGAGTTAAATATTCCGTGGTACACCACCACTTTTTGGGGAGGAAGATATGCTGGAAACTTGTAAACATGCAATAGCTGACCAAAAGCTGCTCTGATTCATATAGCAGATGCAGCAACTATGAGACATCCCTGACATTTTTGGTGCAGTATTGTTGCCATAGAGGCATTTCTGCCCCTAAGATAGCCGTAGTAGCGAGGGAAAAAAGACTGAGAGATTTTCTGGTCTAAGCCAGGCAGAATGCTTCTAGGTACCTCAACAGGTCTCATATCAAGACAATATTTATTGTTACAAGAGAGATGCATACATTAGCACCATCTTCCTGCTGGCTTCAGTCTCATGGTTGATGATGAAAGGGATAGGTTATGTTCCTATTTGATATTGGAAAAGTAGATTTGTTGGTATCTATTTGTTGGAATGAGGTTTATGGCTATTGCCATATTGTCTTCATGAACTGCCAGCATCTAATCATGGGCTAAAGTTGTTTAGTAATAGAATACTGCTGTATTACAGTAATCCTGCAGTTTGCATTGCGTCATTCTGTTTCATAATCTGATGTGTGTGAAATTTTACTCCTTAATTTTTAACTTTAATTTTAACTTTCCTAGACATTTGCAGTTGCTGGCTTGGGATCTGGGTTGACAGAGGCAGTTGTGGTTAACCCTTTTGAAGTAGTAAAGGTTACCTTACAGACAAATCGGAATGCCTTCACAGAGGTATGAGAGTTGCTCCGTTCTTCTTTTTCTGCTTTATTAGGCATAATGCACTTCAAAGTTCATATTTAGAGCAGTATATGTCTAATATATTAGGTTGATGCAAATGATTTTCCCACAAGCTTAACAGAAATGGAAAAAGAGGGAAGAGACTCAATAGACGATGCCTTCAGATATAGAGAGATGCATACAGTATTGTCAGAGGTGTCAACATCTCCATTGTAAATATTCTGTGCCTGAAGTGCACCCTCATCCCTCCAGAGTAGCCAGCAGCCCAGCACTGTGAGGAACTGTAATCCAGAAGTATGAACCTGAGCCCCTTGCACACAGTGCATCTACCCCAGCAGGCTCCAGACTTCAAGTGAGCACCAAAGGTTAGTGTAATATACCACGGCCCCATGCCAGAGCCAGGGTCCAACTAGTGTATTTTATGTTAAAAAATGTAGCTGGTAGCTTTCAGAGTCTTGGATGAAATTATTTATATTGTGTCTTCACATTCATAAGCACAAACTGGGAAATAGTTCTATAATAACACTGATAATTTAAACTCTCTTTCACTTCAGAACATTATTATTCAAATATTGTTTCATTCAAAGAAGTCAGTGTGCAAAACTGACTTTGTCTACTGTTCTGGGTACTGCTGAAAGGGGAAAAAGAGTAATCTGGAAAACAGTGATTCATCAAAATCAAGTGTTCCCAGGAATGCACCAACTTCAGATAATTTTTGACATAGAAAATGTTCCAGGCTAAAGAGAAGGAAGGCAGTCACACAGTTCCGTCCTTCTTTTCTCAGTGAATAAGACTAACAATTGTCAAATCATCTCTTTCAAAATCTTTTGAGAAATCAGCTGTACCATGGTAGAAGTGCCAAATCACATAAGCATGGCATGAAAATGTTGGCTGAACCTCTGGTAAGGCGTGATTCTTGCATATTCCACTATTAAGTTTTGACTGAGTTAATACTTGCATGCCTTGTAGCACTCATCTGCACAAATTGAACTCTTTTAGGGGATGCACAGTAAAGAGATTTATCACCTGGCCATTTACATAAGCTTTTCAGACCAACCTCCTCAGGTACACTCTGGCAAAATACTGCCACTGATTTCTAATTGCCATAGACTAGCCGGAACCTACTCCGTAACTCATCCAGAGAAGCATTCTCTTCCAGAATAAATTTTAAAACATTTGGTAAATTTCTGTTCTATTCTCAATGCATGCAAAAGAGATGTTTGATTGCTGCAAGTCTCCAGCCTAGGCATTTTTTAACCATGGGCAGCAAAGCCACCAAAACAGACAGCTAATACAATACAGGAGTGAAAAGGGTAGGATCCTGGAAGGAGAGAGACTGAAACTGCGAGAAATGAATGTGTGAAAGGATCTCTCTCTCAGGAAGGTGATACGAAGAAAGTATGGACTACTACTGCTCCAGCAGTGGTAAACTAAACAGATATTCTGGATCTTTCTGCCTCACAGTTGGGAAGATACAATTAACTTATCTTAATAAAACCTCTGGTTTTGAGTGTAAAAACACCAATATTATATTTTGAGCAAACTAGTTCCTGTAAAGTTGCAAGAGACCAATATATCCTTTTGCTTCATACATTTTAATTTTTTTCTCTATTGCAAACTTTATGACAAAGTCTGGGAAGTTTTAGTTAGTAAATTTTATGCAATTACTTACTTTAATCGCAGCATCCCTTCCTTGGTGACCTTCAGAATAGTCCAATAATCACATAATAGCTGTTCAAAAGCATTCTGGGTTGTTTTGGTTTAGGTTGATATTCTTTAATTTAAATGCAAATTTTCACAGAATCCAAATAATAATATATTATCTTACAAATAAAATTGTAAAAGAATGCTCTTTGGACTCCACTAGGAACCTGGTTTACACCTAAAACATAAGTAAAATGTCTATTTGCCCTAATGAAAATCCAATGGACTGAAGTTCTTAAATCGCAAAGATAATTAAATCACAGATATATCAATTTTTAATATATCTTTAAGAAAAAGTGTTAGAATTTCACATTTTGCTGTAAATCAGGAAAACTCCAGTGACTTCGTTACCATGATCTCAAGTTCTCATTAAGAACATGTTAAAGAACATTCCACACTAAAGCATGTAAATGCAAGCCTATTGGAAGAAGCATGTGCATGTTATATTATACACTGTAAGGCAATGGTACGCTCATTTCATTACCATGCACTGTTTTTCTAAAAGGTTTAAGTAAAGTATGTACCTATCCTATTGTGTAGCTTTCATATTATATGATGAAACCTAATGCAGTTCACATATTTCTTTGACTATTGTATTGAAATAACAAATATATCTTGTTTAAAAGGAACAAGGAAGAGCATGAACACATACACCCACACCCAGACTCCTGCGCACCCCCAAAGCAAATATTCACACACTGTGGTGACAGCTGAATTATTCTGTGGTACCAGATCATCTTTCGAGGGTTGATAGGTTTAAAGAGGAAGGCCACTATAAATCACCTATCAGCACTTTTGTAATGTGGATTGCTACAGGTAAAAATAAGGGTGACTTTTTGTTAAGGTAAATTGCTAGAAGGCCCAACACCTTGTTGTTTGGTTTGGGTTTTTTTTTTAGCTTTTCCCTGTAGCCATGGATAACTCACTGGCTATAGAAGCTGGTGTGGTAATAAAAATCTCACCTGACTTAAGAGTTGTGATTAATTAAACAAATACAAGTTTCTGCTTTATGATGAGAAGAATCAGACTCCAGATTCCACTAACTAGGTCTCTATTAAATATAAGTCAACAGTTGTGTGAAGTGAATTAACTCCGGATGTTTATGCAATAAATTCCTCCATCTGAATTAATCATCCTAAGGTCCTTCCATCATCAGTGATGAAACACAGACCTTCTATGGCTTGATCAGCTGACATTTTAGATGCCTACTTTGGATGAAGTGAAGTGTTGCCTAAGAGAGCCCTCTTTATTGCTAAAGGACTGAAAAAGGGAGTCTTTTTGAGTAGCTCAGATGTAGATATCTGCAGCTGTCTACATTTGGACTGATGAATCTCATGTCAGGTGTTCAGCAAGTGACAGGCTTCCCCTCTGAGTCATTAGTAAATTTGTATTCAAGATGAGACCACGGGATACCTTACTATTGAAAGTTGCTGTATTCAGCTTAAATCACTTTATTCAAGAGCACTAGTTATTTTTTAAAACTCTAATCTTCGTATTTTGTGCATGAGAAAGGATGTTATTGCCAGTATCTGGACCACATTCCATGTTGGGTATCTACATTTTAGAATAGATTCTGATTTGAATCCCTGAGGGTAGTTAGAAAAGTAAACTATAGTAAAATTTATGAGGAACACTAACAGGATAATATTAGTTACCAAATGTGAAAAACCAGAATGAAACTTACTATTAAAGACTAAACTTGTCAGTCACCTAAATAAGCAGTCATATGCTGTGTCAGATATAATAGGCATCATTTGGCTGATGCTGTTGATCTACCACAGTGATATTTTGAAATGGAAAGCTATTAAACAAATAAGTGTATTGAAATTAGCAGTGTTCACAGCGTTGTAGTCAAAATTGTTCTATATTTTCATGTTTGAGCCTCCTAGTGGAAGTTATGTTTTGCCTTTCTAATTAAACATTTGGTTACCCAGAGCTGGCTTTATGCTTTGGAGAAAGCCAAAGTCAAGTCAACAACTTTTGAAAGGAACTTGTATAATTCTGCTAAAAATAAATCTAAAATGTTCAGAAGGGGAACCCTGATTCTGAGTATCACAGTATATTGGAAAGTAAATCAAATGCATATGTAGTCAGACATATCCTGTCTGAGGAACTGATCATTATATAAGTGGATTCTGGGGAAGTTTCTTCCTTTCTGGCTTTCGTTAAATGGAATTCGGCTGACTGAAATGATTTCTATGCCTTTTGGGCGTTATTTTCAAAACAGGATTTCTAAAGTCAATTTCCTAAATCTGTACCTTGGAATTTAAATGGGTGTTCTGATTTTCAAAAACTAACTACAATTTTAAGTCAAATAATTCATTAGGAGGGCAAAACAGGATTTCTGGTTGAATGTTTAAGGAAAAAAAGAAAACAAACACAAACTTCTTTTCAAGATTTTCAGCACTAGAAGAAGAAAGTTATGTGGTCTGGTTTATAAAGTTCTGTGTACCAAATAACTCCTTCAAAAGTCAGTGTCTTAAAGCAGTAGTTTGCATTCTTAATAGTATGAAGAGCCTCAGAGGATCCAGAAGGGTTCCCAGATGATTTATACACCTTTTGACACCCTTTCAATCCTATTCCTAACATTGAATCTGGAAACTGCCAAACTGATCTTAAATATTTGTAGCCTCCCTTGCTGCTGTAATTTGTGGCTCCCAAGGACTTGCTACCATAGCCATAATGGCTCAAAAATTTCCCGTTCCAGTTCTGTCACTTTTATCACTCCCTCACCATACATATTCCTGTGCCATCGGTTTTACTAGAGAAACTGTTTTAATCTTACTGTCCAGAATAATTGTTATATACTCTGCTTGTGTAAGGGTTTCATCTGTCAGAATCTTAACAGCACAGCATCAATGATTAAAAAAAATATTGCCAAATTCACACATTCAAAGCCACATGTTGCTCTATAAAATCTTTTTTCTTTTTAATTCCTATTTTAAGACCTTTTTCTTTGCTTGAGGGATCCTTAGTCTTTTACAGTACTCAACTCATGCTTTCATCCTGTTCTGCAATCAGGAAAGAGAGGAATTATTTTTGTTTAATGAAAGTTGTGATTCTTACATGATCAAAGGAAAGGGAAAGTAACAAATATGGTGAGATTTAAGATAAAATGACAAGAACTGGCAACACTGTGTTTGCCAAAGTCGTGGTTTAACCCCAGTCAGCAACTAAGTACCACGCAACTCCTTGCTCACTCCCCCTGCCCCCAGTGGGATGGAGGGGAGAATTGGAAAAAGGTCAAACCCATGGGTTGAGATAAGAACAGTTT